TGGAGAAACTGGAACTCTTGCACATTTTTAACAGGAATGTGAAAGGTGCAGCCACATTGGAAAAAGTTTGTTTAAAAGGTAAGCATGACTTTACAATAAAACCCAGTTATTCCCCTTATAGGCATTTACCCCATGGAAATTGAAACATATGACCCCACAGAGATATTTATGTGAATTTTCATAACATTATTATTCAGAATAACCACAAAGTTAAACAATCCAAAAGGTACAAAATAGTAAATGGATTAAAAACAAAAAGAGAAATATAATCATATGATAAAATCCTGTTCAACAATAAAAAAGATTTAACTATTGATACATTCTACAGCATGTCTGAACTAAAACTCATTATACTAGGTGTACGAAGTCAGATGAAAAAGATTACATTTCATGTATGATCGATTCACATAAAATTTATGGAAAAGAGGAAATGTATGCTTATGGAGACTAAGTTTGTGGTTGAATAAGACTGTAAAAAAAATGCAGTAGAATCTTAGGAAGATGGAAATGTTTCAACACTAGATTGTGGTAGTGGCTGGACAATGGAGTAAATGCAAAGAGTCACTAAAATATTCACTTAAAATGGGTTGAAAGTGTGGTGTTCAAATTTCATCTCAATAAAGTTGTTTACATAAAGCTATCAAGTTTTTCACAAATAATTTATTCTATTTTCCCCTTTCATTCATTCAAAGCATTGAGAGAGCATCACTCTCTTCTGTGCAGATGTACAAATGTTAACTTAAAATATCTGTATCTCCCTCTTTGTTATATTATCTGAGAAGAGTGATGCAACTGTTCAGTCAATCAAACTTTGAGGGTTCATATTAACCTTTATCAATATCTTCTACTCAATCTGAGTTTAATGGATCTTTATTTTTGCTCCTCCCTTTTTTTTTGTTTTCAATCTTTTCTGTTATTACCTTCATTAAGTACTTATTTTAACTTACTTGTATTATTTTTAAAAGTTCTGAATTAAAATTAAAATTCTTTGAAAAAACTTTTTTAAAAAGGAAATAGGAATAAAAGTGGTAACCATTAATTTTGTCAATTAAGGTTATTAAGATTAAAATGAAGACACACTATCACCTACTTTATTTTCTTGTATAAAACTGAGAAGCACTGATTCAATTTCTGATTGAAGAAAAGTCATAAGAAGGCATATGCCAATATTTTATAATATATACAAGATTTACAGAATATAAATGAGGAAAATGAGCCAAGAATGTATTTTGTGCCTTTTTATTTTTCTTAAATGAAGGAATGTTCTGCTTTCTTGGTCATTTGAAACGTGCAATGAAGCAATCCAAAGGTCAAACTTAAATTTCTCTCTTTGTATAGTGTCAGGTTGGTTGACGATATTTTTATATTGACATATTGAAGTTGAAATGATATATTTCACAATCCTTAACAAAATTCAGAATATTCTAGGTGAATTCCGACAAGTTCAGGGACAATAGCTTTAACCAATCCAAATACTCCCACTTTTCTTTCTGTAAATTGTAAGAAGTCAATAGATTTTAATTCAACACTGGGGAATCATAAAAATAAACTATAGGGTTCTCAATGCTTTAGATTAATCATAACCTAGACTCTGTAGTTTAGAGTGGTCACTGTCCACCAGCTTTCTCTATAAAGTCTAGCAATGAATAAAATTGTACTCCAGTTTATTGATCAATAACACAGAGATACATAAGTACAAATATGTATATACACACATATATTATATATGCATATATGGATATTGAAGGTGATTATATAATAAATGAAGGTTTCAACTAGGATAAATTCACTATACCCTTTTCAAGCTGATACCAAAATTGTTCATCGTCAACATTACAAAAACTCAACAGAAGTTTTCTTCTTTAAAATGCAAATAAAGGGTAATAGAAGTAAAAAAAAGTTAGCAATGTATGATAACTACAGAGATTACGTTTTTTCAAATGCAAAGTGCTTCAAATTATGGATCATAATCCTCAGGATAAACTGGATTGGAATAGAGTTGTTAGGCACATGCTATTAAAAAAAAAAAAAGAATAGAAAATCCACCCAATCCACCCAGTTCTATTTATATAGAATACTTGAGTAGTTGCTCATAATCTTAATTTTTCAAATGATTTTATGATTATTTATATATGAAAATCATTGTTAATAAAAGTGATTTGCACTTTAGTATTGTGTGGGGAAATTTAAAAATAAGTGAAATAAATATCCAGGTCTCACTCACAAGAGAGCTGAATTAAGTTTCTTGGAGTGCATCTTGGGGGATAATATTTTGCAAGTGTTCTCTAGGTAATACAATGCTAAAGATACGGCTAGGAAACACTGGTCTAGAACTTGAAAACTGATGTTCACACAATTTCCACTAGTTCTTATAGGCTATGTTGACTGATTTCATTTATTTATATTATTCTTTTGGCCTGCAACTGTGCCTGAATCTATAACCTCTGAACACTGAGCACTGTTTGCACTAGAAATTGCAACTGCTTAAAAGTAGACACAACAAACCAAAATCTACTGAGGTCAGATTAGAGAGAGAATTCTTCATATTTGTGCGAGTAGAGGAAGTCTTTATTTGTTTTTTGCTTTGATTTTGTTTTTGTTTTTGGTCTGGGGGTGCTGTGGGTTGAACCAGAGGCTTTGTGGATGCTACATAAGTGCTCTGCCACTAAGATATATCACCAGCTCTAGTGGAAGAAGAGTTTTAAAGGGATTCAGACAGGGACCACTAGTAAGTAAGTAGATGTTTATGAGACTTACTGAAGGCAGGGAGGAGTTGCTACAGATGAAGAAGAGGAGAGAAACAAAGAGCAAAATGTAACATGATTTTGAAGGCCCAATTCTTGGTAGAAAAAAGTAGAACAGAATGGTGTTTGGGGGACACTAATAAACCACACATAACATTCCAGTTTTGTGTCTAATGAGAACATGTTTTTATATAGTTTCTGAAAAATACATCAAAATACTAAAACAGCCTCCTTAAAACTAATACCATGATTTTCCCACTTAGTTGGTCATAAACATTAGGAATATTAACTATCTCCCTAATTCAAAATAATCTCCTTAGCTAGGGAATTCAGGGGCCCTCACTTTCTAAGTGTTAGAGGACAAACAGATGAGGATGGTGGGACACAGGATTAAGAGAATAATTCTGTAAAGTGGGCCTATTGTGCTGATGCCCATGTGCTTTCTTTTCTTTCTTTTTTAAATTTTTTTTATTTTTTATTATTAGTTATTCAAAACATTACAAAGCTCTTGACATATCATATTTTATACATTTGATTCCAGCAGATTATGAGCTCCCATTTTTACCCCATATACAGATTGCAGAATTGTAACTGATGTGATTCTGCATGTGCTTTCTTTTCAAAAAAAAAAAAATTATCTGCATCCCTGCCCGGGCTGAGTGGACAGGATATGTCACATTCCTCAGCAAACTACCTGTTATCTGCAAGGAAATGATGCAGGAAAAAATGTTCACAAGAGGAACCCAAGTTACATTGAAGAGGGAGATTTTTGTGATGCTTTCATAGACAAGATTCTGGAAGATAAGGATAATTGCCCCAACCATAAAATATGTAAGAATTTATGGTTATGAATCTAATTAGAACCACTCAGCATAGACACAGGGGACCTAGAATTGTCGTGGCAGAGAGTACTTAAAATTTTCATGTCCTCTTGCTGTCAGTCAAAAGTCAAGAGGTGGACCCAGATGGGACTCTTAGAAAACTTCTCTGGGATCCCCCAATAAAGCTAAAGTGCAGGAGAGACACACTGTCCCCCTCCTCTCTGAGAAGACCCACTCTGTCCCTTGAGAGTGTCCTCTTTCCTTTTTCCTATCCTTTCAATAAACTCATTTCTGTTATTCTGAATGACATGTCTGAAATATTTCTGACTTGATCATAAAAAATTCGGTTCTGAAGGATGGGTCTTTGTTCTACCTCAGTATCTTGGAAGGCCCCAGCTCCATAATTACAAATTAATGTTTTGGATACATACCTCACCCCTTTCTGCACTGTATTCTCACCTCTGTACTGCTCTGATATCTTTTTCTGCTTCTGAAAACTTAATCACATTGTGAAAGTTCTGCATATCATTCAAACTAAAAGAAAAAAATATTTCTTTCTCTCCTCAAAGCCTTTCTGACTGTTCCTTTAGAAACATATTGCAAAATATTGTATTTCTGCTACTAGTTAAGTTGGTGTTCTACATTACATAGTTTTGGTACATGTTTCAATATACAAAGATTTGAAGGTAAACTATTGAGAAATCCCTCTTTCTAAATCCAGTTTTGCAGACAACAGAGGAAAAAGGGATGATATTATTTATTTATTTTTCTGTCTCCCTTATTTCCTTCTTCTGCTGCCTGGGTTTCTTCAGGTATGAATGATCTGAGTATGCACTTTCTAATTTTTAATTTAGTCTAATTAAATCTGCACAACACAGTTGGCATTTGTTGTTAAACCTAGACATCATAGATCTACAAGCTTAATTCTGCCACACTGAAACTTTAAAGAGCTAAAATTTCATTACTGTCATTTTGAATGAAAAACCATAGGACTCAGGTCTATATTTTCTAATATCATTTGGAGGTTAAGTATCTTCCTGCCTATAATATGATGTCTCATAATACTTGGATTATTTGCCTTAGCTGGAGAATATTACAGAATCATATCCTGTGTTTGTTTTTGAAAATTTTGTTTTGAAACACTTTAATGGCTTCCAGTCTCTTGGTTGTGGAAACGAAGCATGATGCTGAGTCTGTAGTCACCAACTTATGCCTCTAACATCTGTTCACAGTTACATTCTAAGAATCTGGTGGTGGAACTCCCTAATGGAACAACTACTTAGCTCATATCTAAAGAGAATTTGCATTATCACATTTAGGATTTCAAAGTTTATATGGCACATATTACATGTGATTAGAAAGTTTCATGGAGACATGAACAAGAATTTTAAAATGCTTATGTCCTTTTTTTCAAACCACTTTAAGTTAGTCTTACATCTTGAGAATCACAAGGAATGGTACTTGGATTTTCTTTCTTAGTTGATTCAACTCGAGTGTTTTCATTGTTTCCAGTAGCACTTTGCTGGGGCTTGAGAGAGAGAGAGAGAAAAAAAAAAGAGAGAGAGAGAGAAAGAAAGCATTAAAAAAAGAAAAATGGATTTAACAAACAGATTCACATAGTCACTGTAAAACATGGTACAAAGGCAGCATTGTACTCAGAGAAAAACAAGAAAGTAGCAATTGGTATATAACAGAGACCTTACAACTGTAACTTAGAAATTATTCACATTGAAAATAAATACTTTTTGTTCAAATTTTCATTGGTGATGTCCATTGGGATTAATTTGCCAATGAATATATTCATTTCTTATAATATCATATTATTTTAAAGATCCTGGACCCTCAAAAGCCAGATACCACACTGGGTGCCATGGCACGCACCTGTAATCCCAGTGGCTTGGGAGGCTGAGGCAGGAGGATAGCGAGTTCAAAGCCAGCCTCAGCAAAAGTGAGGTATTAAGCAACTCAGTGAGATTCTGTCTCTAAAGAAAATAAAAAATAGGGCTGGGTTTTTGGTTCAGTGGTCAGGTGGCCCTGAGTTTAATTCCAGATAACAACAACAAAAAAAGGCTGATACCCGTTCTTTCTCTTTATTTAAATCCCTAGCATGCTTAATTTTCATAATAATAAAGAAAATGCTATGTAATACCTCATAAATTACATAGAGGATAATATTCACTCCATTGCTTCACTAAGCAAGTTCTGCTTTATACCTCTGGGAAACCTAAATATAATTCTAGAATTTATCTCTTTAGGAACACTACATTGAACAAGAAGTTTCCTGGTTTTTACCAGAGAATAGTATGCCACAACTAATGTATTTCTGTATCACTGTAGATAGTTCTAATATTATCCACTCAAATGTGAATGTCTTTTTCAGGCAGAGCTGATTTAAATATGGTGTTACACTCATCAAAGCATGAGGGGACTTCTGCAGAAGAGACAAACAATAAATTCAACAAATGCTATTTCCTGAGTCTGACACTTTGATCACAGGGGGAAAAGAAATATATAGACAGATACACATATACCTATATGGTATACCAATTTCATTTGGTATAATAAGAAAAGGCATTGTAGACGGGGTATCTTTAAAATGTTTCTCTGAATAGTTCAGCAAGAATGAGGAGACTCTCTGTGTGAAGGTAATCATTTAACCAAAGATACAAAGGAAGAAGGGTCCTGTGTTAGCATGTGGCTTTATAACGTAGGAGCAGACTAAACATGGAAAAAATACAGCAAAGTAGAGAGCTACAGAATTGTAGTACAAAGATCATACTTAATTTAGTAGCCAAAAGGAGGTCCCTTGGATATTTTGAAACAATTATGGCATGGCCAAAACCTTGTTACCATGATGTGACAGCAGCATACAGGTAAAAATAGAACAGAAGACAAAGAGATCAGCAGACTAATAAAGAAGCCATTAAAATGAGCAGGAAGATGGTAACAAGGGCTGACGGAGTTGTCAATACTGACAATTTAAAGCAGATTGGACAAGTATTATATATTGAGATAAAAGGTTAGAATTGATGAAATTTGATGAGTTCTATAGAAATAGACAAACTGGAAGAAAAATATCTTTATAGCAAGAAGGGTGACATTATATTTCCATTAGAGAGTTTAAAGCATTTAGGACTCCTAAATAGACAGGCACTATTGGATAGCAACATTAAAAAGAAAATCAGTTTTAACAAGAATCAAAACAGCTATTTATTCAGCTAAAATATACTGAACATCTACCACCTATCTTCCCATAGCCTCCAACTTACAGTCACATTGAGGAAACAGGTTAAAAAGAATAAAAGCAATAAATAAGCACTAGTACTGAAGGAAAGTCTCCCCTGGCTCACAATAAGAACTACAGCTGCAGCACTATGAAGAATAGATTAAATCACTGAAAGAGAAAAGAGGCAAAGTTAGTATATTTTGTTTCTACTGAACAATCAGATAACTGAACATAGCCCCTGGATTGCCTTGTAAATTTCTTTTAATATTTAACAACATTTAAGAAAAAAGAAATATATTCTGACAATAGTTATTTTTATTTCTCAATGCCATCGCTCAGTCTTCATCAATATTAAAATGCATGGATATCTTATATAGCCACAATTTTAGCCCCCATGTTCTAAGTACTGTCTTTGCGCATCTAATATAAATGTTGCCACCCTTACATGTTTTTATCTATGATTTATAGGTATACAATTCATAGGGTATAATTGGAAAACTGTGATGCACTTGAATATTTTGACAGTTTTCAATTTGAGGTTATGTGAATAATATTGTGATGAACATCAACCTTCTTGTCTCCAGATTGAATGGATATTTCATATCATTCTTGACATTGATTTAAACATCTGCCTCACTTAATAGGCTGGGAGTTTCCAAAAGGGTAGATATCATTTATTTCTTATTTAAAAAGAAAATTTACTCTTTTAGTTATTTACTTATTTGCTTTTTGATCTTTTTGTGTGTATGGTACTGAGGAATGAACCTGGGAGCACTCTACCCCTGAGCTATATCCCAGCACTTTTTATTTTTATTTTGAAACAAGTTCTCTCCAAGTTGCTCAGGCTGGTCTCAAGTTGCCATCTTCCTGCCTCACCCTCCCTAGTATCCAGGTTTAAAGGAGTGTGCCACCATAACCAGCTTAGATATTACTTTTTATTCATCAATGCCTTCTTAGAAGCTAGTGCATATTTTGAAGTCAATTTACTTTTGTTTATCTTTTCCCTTTTGTTGTTTATTTGCAATAGGTTTCTTAGGATTAAAAAAAAAAAGGTCAGAACTGAATCAAAGGGAACGTACATATTTATGGTTGGAGAAATCTTTCCAAACAGTGTCAGTTGTAATGACTCCAACAATATAAGACCACAATATTTGCTATGCATACATTCTATACAAAATGTTTAGAATTCAAAGATTGAAAAACACAGCTCTTTATCTCCAAGTGCACCTGTTTGCTCATCCTAAAATGTTCCTCATTCCTAATCATCTCTGATTTCTTTCTTTAGGGTTGTGTTTCTCTCAAGATATGGTACATACTAAGGAATGTGTTCTCTTTCAATTCCCTGTCCTATGCAAGATATGAGCATGTGATCCGAGTTAGGACATTAGTAGCTGCATCACTGGAATTTAATTGATGAGAATAAGTCTGGACTGTTACATACACAGACGAGATAGACTGGGTTTAAATGGGCTGGCTGCAATTTTAAGCTATCAAGGCCACACAAAAAAAATCACACAACACAGACATAATTTTTCAAATCGAGGACAGGATGGCTCTTTAACCTTAAGGGTCATCTTCCCTGATTTAAAGAGAGCCAGAACTCATGATCCATTTATTTATAGGGGAATTAACAAAGGATTTTCGATAGAATGTTCTTTACCACATAAGGCAGGGGGTCGGCTGGTCAAGCCCCAAAGAGTAACACCCAGGTCCAGAGCCATAGGAAAGCAGACTTCTTTGCTGAATGAAGGAGGAGGCCACCTGCATCACGCAGCACAAACAACATGCAATGCCAGACCAACACCCACTTGGCTTAAGGATGAGAGAGGATGCTTAATATAGCTCATGGGTGGCTCCCAATAAATAAAGAACACTGCTACAGTGATTAGGTTCATTACTCTGGTTGGATGCCTTGGCTCAGTTGTTCCTAAAACAAAACCCTTATCATTCATGTGTCCCTGGAGCAGCCTTTGTTTCTGTTTTCCCCAGGCTTGATTCTGCAATTCTTCCTTGATTTTATGATCTTCTGATATTCTACCTCTGAATTCCCCTTCACTCAATATGTTCAAATTAGCACTTGTTGCATGTAACTAGGGAGGGCCAAATAATGCAAAATGTCAAAGCCATAAGTTGAAATTGACAGCACAAGGTAAGTGCCGTGATAGTGGTCTACCATGGAGCCAACCAGATTAAAACCTAACTGAATTGGACAAGCTCTTTAATGATGGAATTAATATTTCATGGTGTTCAACATATTCCTAAAAATATACATTTGTGCAGATGATACATTTTAATGCTTGATTAATGACATATTCTTGTGCAAATATTTTACATTTATGAAAATGTTCCCAGACTTTGGAGGTGCAATAGAGACAAGAATATGTCCAAAGTGAGAAGTTTTATTTATTATTTAACTATTCATTTGACAATTTACTTATCTATAATTTTGTGAACCTTTGATATTTTGAATGAAAGATAAAAGAGCCTTTATTTTATTAAGCTGACAAAAATGAGAGGGAAAGACTACTACAACTTTCTTTCTCCATAAATTTGCTAATATCTTCCCCTGTTTTCATCAACTAAATAACTGTGGTGCCTGGTTTTCTACATTTTATATTAAATACTGAGGTTATCACACTTAATTTTGCTTCAGAATTAAAAGAACTATAGTAATTATTTTTAACAATGGAAAGAAATTATATATTACTGCAAAGGTATAAGCACCAATGCATAATTTTTTTTATTTACTTAAATAAAGAAAGCAGAGCATTTAATTAAAGCACTGCTTGCTTTTAAGCCTAATATATATATTTCTCTGTCACTGACATCTCTTCTTTATACTCTTGTATAAAGAAAGCAAAATGAAAAAAATATATATAAAACTTATTGAATCTGATAAGCAAACTTGAATTTGAACTGACTTTGGGGATAGATAATGAATTTTGTAGTCAAAGAAATGTGGATTTCAATCTTGGATTAGCACTTAAATGAAATAGGGCTTCAGACAATTTATATATCTTTGCAGGACTGCTGTTTCCTGCTGCTCTGCCAAAGGAGGGCAAAATCACTTAAATTGCAGTGTGCTTTTTTTTTGTCATTTGTTTCAGGGGAGTAGGAAACTAAATATAAAGTGTCTGGTACCTTCTGGGAAGCTATTGCTTTAAAATTTACTATTTACTTGAATAAATAGAGACCTCCATCTTAGTCTGGGAAAGTATGGCCCTGAAATAGAGTGACTATATTAGTAAACTAAATGGTGGACTCGGGCTGCCCCCCAAAAGTTATGCCAGTATCTTCTGACA